TACTATATATATATATATATATATATATATATATATATATATAAAGGGTCAAAAATATTGTTCAACTTTATTTTTTTTATTATTATGCTCTTGTCGTTAAAATGAAGGTACTTTTATCCCGACCGTCACTAATTTCATTAAATATGCCCCTCAATTGGATGGAAAGACCCAAATCAGTCCAAATTAATCAAAACGACCCATTCCCCGTGTTAAACCCATTACTCGACCTCTCTAAGACCCATTTAACATTTTATCCATTTTCATAACCCATTTTCTTAAAAAAATCTCAAAACCCACAACTCAAGAACTAATAAATTATTTACTGTTTCAGAAGTAATAATTCAGATGCAGATGCAAAATTGTCTCCGAAATTATTGATTGTTACTGTGTTGAATGGAAATGATGGATTTGAGACAGAGTTTGTTACTAAAATGTTTCCATTTCTTGGGTTTTATGCTGTTGCTACTAGGATATTTCAAATAAAATCGAGATAGAACCAAAATGGTGAACAAGGGAAGATGAAAATTATAATTTGTTGCTCAACGCATCGCCTTATGTAAGCTCTGCAAGATTATTGTTGTCTTATTTGACTCTGAGCAAATCAACAAAGTTTGGAGTTCGATTTTATCCTTAAAAACAACATTCTTAGACTAATATTGCTTTCCATTCCGATGCTTTGAATGAATACAAAAATAGGAAATATCTCCGAGATAAAAAAAAACTCAGATCTGTAACAGTTGTAGGGAATACATATATAAGAAGGACAAAAAAAAGAGGAAAGAAGAAAGCATAGAGGGGAATGCATAGTTTTTTTAAATCAGTAGCTTTCACAGATCATAAGTCTCCAGTACGTGTTCACACTAAGGGAGTTGAATCTACGTTAGCGGAGATGGTTGGAGTTGTTGAAGTATTATGACATGAATGTGCACTACCATCCAGGTAAGGCTAATGTTGTGGATGATGCTTTGAGTAGGATGAGCATGGGGAGTACAACCCACATTGAGGACGAGAAAAAAGAGTTGGCAAAAGAGGTACACAGACTGTCCAGACTGGGTGTGCGATTGGTTGACCCTACTAATGGGGGTGTTTCAGTTAAACCTAGTTCTGAATCATCCTTGGTAGTTGAAGTCAAGGAGGGTCAGCATCTTGATCTTGTATTGATAGAGCTGAAGAACTAAGTGTTGTTAAAAATGAATGAGTCTTTCGCTTTGGGAGGTGATGGCATACTTAGGTATCGGGACATGCTGTGTACAGATGTGGATGATTTGTGAACCAGGACTGTGGCAGAGGCCTATGGTTCCAGATATTCCATACTTCCAGGTTCCACCAAGATGTATCATGATCTTAAACAGATCTATTGGTTGGATGGCATGAAGAAGGACATTGCTGAATATGTGGCTAAGTGTCTTAATTGTTAGCAAGTTAAGGTAGAGAATCTTAATCCTGATGGTCTAACTCAGATTATTGAGGTTCCGACTTGGAAGTGGGAATCCATTAAGTAGGAAAACATGAATCCATGTGGGTCATTGTGGACAGGTTGACTAAGTACTCCAAGCTTTATTATTTTGGGAGATTTTCTCTAACTTTTCGACAATCTCAGCAAAAAAGTACTCCCTAAAAAACCACCCTCTATAGTATCCAATACCACATTATTATTATCATCCTGTCCTTGATAGAAGTATTCCTTCAGTGACTCATCATCTATGTGGTGATTGGGGACGCTTCTAAAAAATGAGGTGAATCTATCCTAAGAACTGCTAACTGTCTCTCCTGGTAGTGTCACAAAGTTGTTCACTCTGTCTTTGTGGTTTAGTTTTTTAGAGACCGGGTAGTAACGTGCTAAGAAAATGTCCCTTAGTTTGTTCCAAGTGAAAATTGAGTTATAAGGGAGCTCAGTGAACCAAATAGCATTCTCTCCCGTCAGTGAGAGAGGAAAGACACTTAGCCCTATTACATCCAAATCCAAATCAGGCCTCCCTACACATCTTTTACACACTGCCCTTACCTTAGCTATATGGGCATGTGGATCCTCAGAATGTAGCCGTGAAAACAAACTTCTGGCAGAGAGCATTTGCATCAGACTACTAGTTACCACAAAGGTGTGGCCTTTTGGTAAAGGGGGAAAGAGAAGTGGCTCATCAGAGTCTTCTATATTATCATAGCCTCTGTAGTATTCTTGAGGATGTGGAGCGGGATTTTTTTCCCGTTGTTGATTTTCACCCGGATCATCGGGTAATAACTGACCATGAACATCAATCGGAGCTGGGATGTTCTGGTTTGAATCATCATCATTAATGCCCAAGTTTCGATTCATGTCGCGTAGTGTACGCTCTAATTCGTTATCATAGGGAAACCAGGTTTCTCTTCCTCTCCGTGTATTTTGCATACAAGGAAGATAGTTCTGCAAGAATAAAAAACAATAAACAAATTAAAATTAAGAAAATATCGACTAAACTATAGTAATAAGTTTATGTTAATCTAAAAGGTATTTTCCCTGGCAGCGGTGCCAAATTTGATACGCTCAAACTTACTTCTCAAATAAGAAGTAAAGTGGTCGTATCAAGTAATGAACCCAACTAATGAAGTTGGGATCGTTCCCACGAGGAAAATAGTTTAGACTTAACTTTTAGCTATTATTACTATTGTTCAGTCAATTATTTCCTTAGAAAGCAAAAGACAATAAAAGGGGGGTTTTGCTTTCTAAGGAAATAATTGACTAAAAAA